GCCATGTCTGTCGACATTGGCGAGCTGTTGCTCTGTCGATGTCCGTCTTGTGGAGTGCAATACCCATTGTCGAGGTTGTGGACTCGAAGTGGGTTCCTTGCTGGCTCGAGCGATCTCGGCAAAGTCCTCTCTCGATACAAACTTCACACATGGCCGATGCGTGTCATCATCTTGTGCTGGAGCGCATCTTGCAGCATCGCGCGCGCTGGGAGAACGCCCACCTATGCATCTATCGTTCACAAGTTTTCAATGGCTGGGGTCTCCTGCCGATGCTTCGACATATCGAACTGAAAATGTTTTCAACGCCTGTCGGCGGCGACTCGAAGTTGCGTCTTGTAGAGGCACCTTTGCTCCGGTCCGCCATTCTATGGGACTTTGAATATCCACGAAATCTTCTGCCTTGGCACCAGTTGACAGCTCTTGCATTGGTCTGCAAGGAGCCGCGGCAGTGTACACCCATTCTCCAACAGGCGGTGAACCTAGTTTACTGCGAGCTGGCGTTGACTGAACCAATCAACGGAGCAGCCGAAATGCCGCAACCTGATATCACCCTTCCACTACTTGAATACTTGGCTCTCAGTGACTTCGATGATCACCGGCACATGCCGGAAAACTATCTGACCTCTTTCATTACACCGGCGCTTCGGCGACTGGAGGTGCTGGATCGGTTCATACGACCGGACCCCATAAGCGTGATACAGTCCTTTCTGGATAAATCGGGTTGCAAGCTGGAGGAGATTTGCATAGTGGGGCAACGCCGCATGCCCACGGACGAATACAGTTGGTCAGGCTCAGATCTTCGCGTCTCCTTCAAACCCACACACGATTGGGGGTACTACGTGGATGTGGCGGATGAAGTGAGCCTTAGTGAGGGAAATAATGACTAGATTAGCATTCAGGTAGTGGGACTACGGACACGAGAAAGCTTCATCTTTTCAAGTGGGTTGCTTGTAGTTCTTTCTGTGTTAAAACATAAAAAGTTTTGAAACCGGGCCGGGATCCCGATTCTGATGGCTTGATAAGTTATGTCTTGCTCCACGATCTCATTTACCTTTTGCCGGCATGCACAGCGGTCGGGTCTCCGCACTGCCGGACGATGATATCTGAATGTCGGCGAACCCTACTACCGCCGCGCCTTGGGACAGCCAGTTTACCGAGCGCCGTTCACGAAACATCATCGATAGTATTTGTGGACGGCAGACGACGATCTGTGCGACGGTGCCTCGATAGACTGCATCCATCTATCAAGCGATTGCGAGAATGACGTGAGGGAAAGAATGCACGAGGCTCTCCGCATTCTATCCACCGACCACGACTCGGACGATGCCATCCGAGGCGCGACGGCCGTACATCGCGCTCACACCTAACCAGGCCGACTTTGCGCTGGGACCGGTTCTCCAGCCGAACATCGACTCCGATATCCGCAGCCCTAGCGCTGAAGCCAGGAATTCAAAATGGCGTGTGGCTGCCAACCGCGTACAAGGCTTTCTCTCGCTCAACGCGGGGCTGCTGCTTGTCACCGCGGCCCAAGGCGTGTTCTCCCTCGTCAACGTCGCGGTGAAGATACTGCAAAGTTTGGACGAGCCGGTGTCGACTCTTGAGGTGAGTTTAACGCGCCAAATGCTGTGATCTCTCCTCACGAAGACTGGCAGTTGATTGTTGTTCGTATGGTGCGCCTCGACTTTCTCCGACTTCAACCTGAATATAATGTCGGGCAAAGGCAATCACTTATATTTGCAGCGTCGCTTATATGTGCGTCCATTCCTTGGTTTCTTCCAGTTCAACTCACGGTTTACTAGGCTGATGCGAAAAATCCCTCAACCGTTTACCGGCCCCGAGGGCGTGCGCGCGCTTCTAATATTTCGGGGTCTAACTGGGTGTGTCCTGTCCAAATGCCACAACTCTCTCTCCATGCCACCTCAGATTCGTCGGCCTCAACGGCACGTACTTCTCCCTCCAATACCTCTCCCTCTCGGATGCCACTGTTCTTGCCTTCCTTGTGCCGATGTGTACCGCCTTTTCGGGAAGCGTCTTCCTCAAGGAGACATTTACAAGGAAGGAGGCGATTGCGGGGTGTGAGTTCTCCCCTCACGCGTCTGTGAACCTCAATTCATACCTTGATAGTCTGCAGCCTCGTTGGCGTCGTCCTGATTGCTCGACCGGAATTCCTCTTCGGCGCACAACCAGACTCAACAAAGGTTGACGGCCAACATCGGATGCTGGCTATTGGGTGCGTTCTTCAGGTTCTGTCTTGAATATCCGTGGCCTGAATCATTCCTGAGAATCGCCCTGCTTGGGGTGGTTGGTTCCACTGGGGCCAGTGCGTTAACTTTCTTCTTGTTGGCATCGCGATATGAACTCGACCGCAGTGACGTCCATACGCGCGATTGGAACTCGCGCACATCCAATGCACCTGCTCGCGTTCTTCTCTCTGCAATCGGTTCTTGGAGCGTCTGTCCTGTGAGCTGAACCTTCCCCGCGTAATCTAATCAAATCAAATCAAATCAATTGAAGCATGGCCATTCTGCACACTCCAATCATCGTCCCCACGCGCCTCGCATGGCTCGGTCTGCTCGGGATCATCGGCGTCCTCGGGTTCGTCGCGCAGATTCTACTGACGATGGGGTTTAGAAAGGAGGAAGCAGGGCGTGCGAGTATGGCGCTGTATTCGCAGGTCCTCAGGTTCTTCCATGACAGTTCGCAAGCTGAACATGCGACAGATTATCTTTGCGACGATTCTCGAGCGGATCTTTTTCAAGGATATCGTCGCCTCATTTCTGTCCTTCCTTGGGACGTCGATAATAGTCGCATCGGCGGTGTATGTTGCGGTACGTCTTCTCAGGCCTGTGTTCTTCCTCATTCTATAACGCGCGGGCTATGAAGGCAACTAAGAAAAGAGACGGCGGCGATACACATAAGAGCGGACCCACGCTTGACGTGAATTCCGAGCTGGAACTGGAGGAAGGTCTTCTACCACCGTCTCCCATCATCAACAAAAATATCTCGAGTTCGCGACGGCTTTTGGATGGGGACGATTCGGAATCGGAGTCGGATGAAGAGCAGCGATATTCAGCGAGCGGGTCATCGACTGCTGAGGTGGTTCCGTTGCTACCACAATGATTGCCTGTTCTTTTTTTAGAGTTGTTGTGAAACGGCATTGTGGTCCCACGCGGGAACAGCCGCACCTGACACCCAATCGCAGGCGACCTGAACCCTCCTATGGGGAACCTCTACCTCACGACCAAGTGGCAGGCCATATACACTACATACAAAAGTAAACACCAACATCCAAACCCAACAAACCCTTGAGGAATGTACAATGTCGAGCAAGACTCCGGAATTTGGCCGGCCCAAACGTGGCAGGATGCTGGATAAAACCCATAAATTAGGGCCCTGGTACGCGTTCTCGCCTCCCAGAGTTGACTGTACGGGCGGGCCGGCTTTTTCCGGCATTGACGTCATGCGCATAACTCGTGCGGATTTGCTGATTCAGACTCTACTCTCTTTCTCAGAACCACCGCCATGTCCCTCCCTACCAGGAAGATTGGCTCAGCCGACGTAGCGGAAATCGGCTTTGGCGCTATGGGGATCTCGGCGTTCTACGGCACGACTGAGACCGATGAAGAGCGGTTCAAAGTGCGTCGTCTCCGGTTGTGTGAAGCTTATAAGGAGAAGCTGAAGAGCGTTTCAAGGTGCGTGTCGTCTCGGTTGTGCGGAATAAGCTGAATCCGAACATCCAATCAGGTCCTAGACGCCGCATTCGAGTCCGGATGCCGATTTTGGGACACAGCTCACATTTACAACGACTCGGAGGAGCTTATCGGCAAGTGGTTCAAGCGCACAGGCAAACGCAGCGACATTTTCCTCGCAACCAAGTTCGGTATCGGCCCGCAAGGCCCTCGCGGTGATCCTGCATTTGTCCGCGAGCAGTTCGAGACGTCGGTCAAGCGCCTTGGAGTGGATTATATCGATTTGTATTACCAGCACAGGTGCGTTCTGTTTGCTTCGAGCCCACCCGACGACTGATCAGATGAATACAGAGTGGACCCAAAGACCCCAATTGAAGTGACTGTCGGCGCGATGGCTGAACTAGTCAAGTGCGTCTCTTCTTTATCTCATAGTACTAACCTCATTTTAACCTCCACCAGAGAAGGCAAAGTCAAGTATCTCGGTCTCTCTGAATGTTCCGCCAAAGCTCTCCGTCGCGCACATGCCATTCACCCCATCTCCGCCCTGCAAATCGAGTATTCTCCGTTCGTCCTTGACATCGAATCGCCCGAGGTTGGACTGTTGGACACCGCGCGCGAGTTGGGCGTGACGATCGTCGCGTATTCACCTCTTGGACGTGGACTTTTGACTGGTCGTTTCGTGCGTGTTTATCTTGCGGTTTATGTTTGGACTGATCGCTCGAAGAAATCCCCCGATGACTTTGAGGCGGGCGATTTCCGGCGCACCATCCCCAAGTGAGTCTCTTATCCTCTCCACATCGACGCTCATCTGTCGTTCAGGTACTCAGCCGAAAACTTCCCCAAGATCCTCGAAGTCGTCACCCGCCTGCAGAAGATCGGCGAGAAGCACAACGCGTCCGCCGCGCAAGTCACCCTCGCATGGATCTTAGCGCAGGGGCCCGAGTTTGTGTTGATTCCCGGGACCAAAAGTGTCAAGGTTTGTCCCCTTCTTCGCCCCGTTTGGTCAGCTCAACTAACGCGAACGTCAACGCAGTACCTCAAAGAAAACCTTGGCGCGTCTTCGATCAAGCTGAGCAAGGAGGAGATCGCAGAGATACGCAAGATCGCGGAGGAGTCTGAGGCGGGAATTCCCGGCACGCGCTATTCGGAGAATAGGATGGCGATGCTGTTGTTGGACAGTCCGGAGCTGGAGAAGTAATAGGCCACTTGTATGACAGAGGGAAAAAAAAAACGACCCAACGTGAATGTAAACATATGTTGACCTGAGGACCGGTCGCTGCTCATCTGATAAAGCCTGTGTGCTGTGTTCTCAGCAGCATGGCGCAGATGGAAGCGCGCGGGGCCCATATTACCGTAGTAATCTACCCCGAGGTCACTCGATCGAAACGAGTTGCTGCTATGAATCAATACCTTCGCGTTTCTTTTGCTCCTCCAGCTAAATGTACATGCATCCATCGTCAGAGTTTGAATGGTGATTGGTGAACTTAAGATTTGAAAGAAGGTTGAATGGGATCGATAAAATTAGGTCGGTCTGTTTATATCCCTCATCGGCGGCCTCTAAGCGTCTGCTCGTCTTTCGACTGGCATCGCTTTGAGTGCGGAACAACAACGGAAGCGGCGCATGTTGAAACGTAATTGCGGACCGCAAGCGTCTAAGTGTCGTTGACAATGACAGAAGAGATTGTCGGGCTTTGAAAAGCTCCAGTTGAAGGGCCAACGGAGGTGCTGTGCATGCTATAGCATAACGAGGCCTGGGATGGAGAGATCAAGGCTGTCTCCGAGTCGACGCACTTGCCGGAAGCCATACTTGAAGTTGCGCCAGTATGGAGAACAGAAAGAGGAAAGTGGTGAAAAAAAGAGCGTTCAAATGCGACAGCATACAAAAGATACAGCTCGGACACAACACATCCTTACTTGTTGTGCGAGTCAGAATGCTGGCATGCAGGCAACCCTCACTCGGATTTGACGTGATTGCCCGACATCTCCAGTAGCGCGAGGCAGAGCTGCTCTTCACGAGGTTTTGATGGGACTGAGGGATAGGTTTTGCGGCTTCTGGAGGTACGATGAGGGTTGGTTTCAGGAGGCCAGGCGGCGTACTTGGCACGGCGAAGTCGCTGCTTCAAGGCCAGCCATTCAGCATTTCTAGGAGCCGTCAGCGAAGAGAAAGGGTAGTAGACAAAACTCACCGTTTCCGATATTCGCGGTCGTAGTTGCGGGCTCGCTCCCTCAGAGCACACTGTTTTTCTGGATCGTTCTGGACAAGCTTCCGTTCGCTGGAAATCCTGAGTGGCGTTGAGGAGGCCAAGACTTACCGAGACTTGCGCTCGCGGTCAGCAGCCCGTGTTTCAGCATTAGATTTGGCTATGGTTGTGGTTCAAAAGTGAACTGGCGTGGCATGTTCCAGAATAGGCAGGACTCATCAGCCAATCAGCAGCCATTTACTTTTCGTAGGCAACATCGGCGACGACGGAACAGGCATTCGATTGCAAAGGAGTCTCGGAATTTCTCTATGTTGCTAATGAGCGTAGCTATGAAAGTCACGGTTGAACTACATGTCGTCACCGGCTTTGTTAAACCAATGGGACTGTTGGCACCGGAACTACCGCACTTGTTCCAAGCACGCTTCCGTCCTTCGCCAGCGCTGCGACCTGAACATACCCCTCACTCCCTTCTCCACTAATCTGTGTTTCGAACCCTGTTCTCTGCACCGTCCGCAGCGTCCCCTTGACACTCCCCGCATCCGCCCCGGTGAGCAGCGCATAATTAACCACCTGCGTCGCACCGTTCCACGAAACATACACGCTGAGCGCCCCGAGCGAGTCGCGCTCTGCAGTAACAGCCGGTGTTGTCTGCGGCCGCCCGATAAATTCATTCGTGGAGGTTTGGTAGACACGGTAGTTTGTGATGCCGCCGAGCCAAAGTGTTGAATTGTTGGGACCAATGACTGCGGAGAAGAGGAGTTGTTGTGTGGTGAGGTCGTGCACCGTGAGCCAGGGATTGCTGCCGTAGCCGACGACGACCTGTGAGCCGTAAACCTCGGTAGAACCTTCTGCAAAACTAGGACCAGCGTCTGGGTTTCGTGAGAAGGCGATTTCGAGTAAGGAAAGCGACGTACTGGGTGCAGGAATAAACCGATTGACCAGTTGAACGGTCTTTCTCTCCAGATCCAATTGGAAGAACTTCCCGGTCGCGACCGGCTCGTTTATCACAAACGTCCCACCCAGCACCGCGGCGCCATCATCGAACAACGAGATTACATTAGACCCTCGCCAACGCGCATCGTGCTGCCAGTGAAATTGGGCGTCCGCGGTATCGTTCCCGGTAACAGTGAAAGAGCTGTTTTTGCCTCCGAGTCGCCAGAGAATTTGTCCGTCCCTGCCATCGATGTTATATACCGTCCACGTGTGGCGCGCGGAGATGAGGTAGTTGCCATGTGAGTCCTGAGCCGTGTTTCTGTCAGGCCAAAAAAAATGGATCCAGCGGCAAAGTACCTTCTCGATCGAGTTGATGTGGACGGCGTCCCAAGCGGTCTGAGATGATAGCCCATCTTCAGCTTGAGAGATGTTGTTATACGATTCGGTGAGAGCGATGTGGTCGAACGACGTCCAGTTGAATAGAACCCGCCCGCTCGCGATGTCGACTTCTTGAATTATCGCATTCAGGTACCATCCTTCCTTCGGCCCTCCGACGACCGAGAGGTCAGCCTATTTCAGGTCAAGAAAAATCACCCGCGAAGCGAAGGCATACCGGAACGGGAGTATACGCGGTGACCAGCGCGGTCTTGTTCTCCGGCTGGACGATCCTGAACTCGTGGAGATCTGTCCCACCACCGGGGTTGACCGCAGATACATTCGCCACCGATCGATACGCCTCGTCAAAAATCCGTGCAGTCCCATTTCCCACCTGTACACCCGTCCCCGGGTTGCCGTTTCCAGCCCAGAACGTCAGCACCTTTTTGCCGTTGTAGGTCTGCAAGTTGAGGTCATTACATCCGCCGATGGTAGGGTCCGCCCAGACGAGTTCGCCAGTCGAGTCGTATATCACTGGACTGGGTTGTGCGATGGCGGAGCCTGTGGGGCAGACGAGGAAGAGCGTGGAGTTTTGTGGATCGTAGGAGGGTGCGCGGACGAGAACAGTGAGAGGTTGGATGGCTAGTGGTGAGGAGTGGTAGGTGCGCTCGAAGACAGCGTGCACGGGAATACTAGTTGAGAGAAGGGCCGCGACGGCGAGTGGTTTCGTCCGCATATTTCAGTCTGGTCTTTCCAGTGCTCAGGCTTGGGCCGCTCGTATTTATACCTTCGCAGCTACCAGCTAAAGGCGCAGTCGAGCGGCCCGCCATTACAAGCTCAAGCCCGACGGAGTGCGACGGAGACAGCTGAGATGCGGCCCACTTCAATAGGAACAGTTCCGAGGATCCTGATATCCGTGACAAATTTGCTCGTGAAGGAAAGAACGAACTCGGAAGATGATTATTTGTTCCGTTGTTGATGCCGCTTGAACCGCTTTCACGTCGACGGGACGTAGGGTTAGACTCAGCCATTTGATGGATGTGAGAACGAGGACGAGGACAGTGGAAGTCTATATGCATGAGAGGAAGTTACATTACATTCTCCTGACCTGGGCATATCGACACGACCCTTATCCCACTGCCCTTCTGCTCCTCTTCGATAGACCAGATGAGTGTGAGCTGGTTAAGGGCCGATTTGCTGGAGCTGTACTCGGGGTAGATGGGCGGGGGCGGGCGCTGCGTGTGCCAGTCGAGGGAGCCGAGGGTGGACGAGATGTTCAGGATGGAGCCACCGTTGTTGAGCAGCGGCCGTAGGGCGGCGGATGCACCGATTACGTTGACTGCGTAGACCTCTTTGAAGGATTCAACGCATATGGCTTCAAGTCAGCGGTGTACTGGCCAGATAGAAAGTGACACGCACTTGTTAACGAGGACGTCCAGTCCGGCCAACTCCTTAAGTCGTTGAAGTACCATACGTAGGCTGGAACAGCCTGGAAGGATGCGAGTCATCCGGCGGACCAACCATCAACCTGCTTAACCTCAACTCTCACCAAAGCACTAATCGCGATGTCCAATACGGACTGGTCCTTGATCTCCGCTACCGACTTGGCGCTGCTACTCCCGACGCTGCCATTGCAGCCGTATGACCATGCCCTTCAACAACTTTCTGTCCGTATAATCGCGCTTCTCGGCGAAGAAAGTACGACCAAAGCCCTCTTCGACGCCATACACAGCTTGCTATCGACCGTAACCCCGACATCTACGACAGAAGACGTGGGCAGAGTCGCCTTTCTTCTGCACAATGTCCTCAGCGACCTCCCCCGCCAGCTCATCGAGCCCTTCAGAGATACCTTGACTCGGATCTCCGCCTGTAATTTGGACCTCCAATTCACCAGCCGCGCGGCAGACGATATTATCCGCTTCCTCAACACGCCCCACGCCTATGTCCCTGTGCACAAAACGGACGACCTGGGTGTGCGCAGCATCGCAGAGGGCGTACACACTGCAGACCAAATGCGCCCGCTCATTCCGGGTTTGCTCAGCTGGCTGCAGGATCGCAACTGGCCAATGGTTCGCGGGAGCTGCGAGCAGCTTGCACGCTTCCCTGCCCTGGCGGTGAAGGGGATTCGTAGTGTTTTGCAGCATTTAAATGGGGACGACGGCGAATGGGAGGGCAATTTGTTGCATTTTGTCCGGCTGAATGTCCCGTCGAAGATGCGTCGGCCGCTGAGACCAGATCTTGAGCGCATTGTGCAGCGCCCCACGGATAGCGAGCTGGAGAACGAGGTTGTCGAGGTAGCGATGGAGTTGTTGATGGACATGGATGATTGGGCGGAGAGGTCCAAGGTGCGATTGAGCCTGCCTGTTTCAAATTCTACAGACTTTGATTGAACACTGACAGCGTCGGCGAAAACCCGATACATCGACTGTTCCCAATACGTTAGAGTAACCTTCTCCACGGCGGCGCATCCCTTGGCTGCTGATTCTCAAACGCAAAACCCGTCAATATATGCCGTGTGCGGTCACTGACTTCCGGGTTCTCCCACTCATCCTCGGAGAAAGAGAGTGGCACCCCATGTACGTTCGAGAGCTCCCTTGTGCTCGACGTAGATTGTATAATGCAAATTTCCTCCAATTTGCAAGCCGATGTATTGATGAAAGATGTCAGAGCATCGACTGGGTCGGGCCATAGAAGTCTCTCCACCACTTGAAGTCGACGAAGGGCCGGGGTGATTAGATTGAGCGTCTGAAAGAACTGCCTAGGTAGAAGATCCATGTAGAAAGCCACGTTCGAGTAGCGGTTGAGCGCCAGTGTCTCAACATGAGGCAAAAGAATATCGATTCTTGCAAGCTGCGGGTCAGTGGCTTCAACAAATTTGGCCAACAGCTCG